AAATATCCTGTCTATTTGCATATATTACATTTTCGCATATATTGCAACAGTGGTACGACCACTTCCTCACTTTACAGCGAACGCATAAATCACAGCACCTCCACAAAAGAAAAACGCATTTCTGCTCACTTCCAACCACGGTTAGGCACAAGACTTAATAATGAAATAGTGGAAAAGAACCCCATAAAAGCTCTATTTAGTTTACATTTTTGTGTAAAAGTAGCAAAGAAAATAATGCAGATGGCATTGAAAGTGATCACACCTAGAGGTGACAGCCTTGCCGCACAAATTCACGACGACATATAACCCTAGCAACTACCAGTGACCATAAGTCTCATCATTGGATTCGTCCGTTAATGGAGTGGCGAGATACAAAAGCAGCAAGCCTTTCCACCCTTGATACAGCCCTAAAATTCGTTACTACAGTAGCCTGAGGCCTTATCAATGAGACGTAAATCCATGTTCTTGCGAAATTGAATCTTACCTTGATGGGAATTCTGTGCACAACCGAATAACAAAGGGATTGCAGCCTTTCAAACGTTGCGCACCAAACGCCACATCATTCATCATCCAGTAGGAGAGACTCTGGAGACGTTAAGCACAACCAATGTTAATGAAATGGAGGAGGAGACAGGGCACTTAAGCACCATGGGAGAGGACACACCAAAGGTTCAGTGATATTGTGACGCTTGTAGAGATCGCCGATGGAATCGAGGGAATCCCAAGACTCCTCACTGCTGTAGTCAACCGCGAGACCAACTCGGTCAACCAGCTCCAAGACGACATCCTCGATATCCCACTAGAGAGGATAGGAGGGTTCAAGTATGGATTAAAGAGGCGGATCGGGGCTGGGTGAGTGGACGAATACATGAATCCGGAATGAGCAAACTAGAGGAGGGTAAATAAGCGAATGGATGTGTGGAGCCAGAATGAATGAATGGATGCAGGACGAGCAGGTAATGGGGCAGATCCGAAATGAATGGAGGAGTAAGAAATGGATGTTCGAGCTAAGTATGAGTACAAATTGGTTGAACATATAGATTTGGAAGGAGCCAATCCAAAAGGAATGGATAGCCAAAGTAGATGGGTTGATGAGTGAAATGATTGGATTAGTGGTTTACAAAATGAAAGATAATTCCATTGACTGATGAAAGAATCAAATATTAACTGAATCCAGAAAAAAAAGGATGATTACTGGCATTTAAACTCACTCTAGAATCATAAGAGAAGAGTTCCGTCGTAGGCACCTCGGCAATCTATTGGAAAAGAAATAAAATCAGGAGAGTGAAAGTGAAAGCAAATTTTTACGGAAAATCGCAAAAAAATCTTTGCACCAATCATACGACTTTTTCGAAGAAATTGTATGTGTGAACAGAGGAGTGCAACAAAAAAGTTCCCACAGAAAACAAACCCTCAAAACGGATACACGAGGTCATTGTTCCACCTATTTACTGAGAGGATTT